GGGGGGCCTCTCGGGGGCCTCCCGGGCCGTCTTGGGCCATCTTGGAGCCATCTTGGGCCGTCTTGGTGGGCTCCTGGCCCGTCTGACGCCGTCGGAAGCCGTCTTGGGGGCCTCTCTGGGCTGACTTAGAGAGCTCTTGGGGTGCTCCAGGTTGGAGGTAATCTTGGGCGTCTTGGAGGACTCTTGGGGCCCTCTTGGGGCCGTCTTGGGGGCCTCTTGGGCCGTTCTGGGGCCATCTTGGAGGCCTCTTGGGCGATCTTGGGCGGCTCTTAGGCCGTCTCGGGCCGTCGGAAGGCCGAAAAGAAGCAAATGCCACAATAGTTCAACCCTTTCACGGCAAATCAATGATTTGGGCCTCTCCGGGCCTTCCTGGAGGCCCTCTTGGAGGCCTCTGGGGCCGTCTTGGGGACCTCATTGGGGCCTCTTGTGCCGGTCATCTTAGAGCCATCTTGGGCCGTCTTGGTGGCATCTTGGCCCTGGGGGCCTCTCTGAACCGATTTGGGGCCCTCCGGGAGAGGTCCATGGCCGTCTTGGAAATCATCTTGCATGGGCCGTCTGCCGTCATCTTGAGGCCGTCTTGGGCCGCTTTGGAGGCTTCTTGAGCGAACTTGGAGGCATCTTGGACTCTCTTGGGCCGTCTTCGAGGCCATCTTGGACCATCTTGGGCGAACTTGGAGGCCATCTTGGCCGTCTTGGAGGCCGTCTTGGGCCAACCGGCGGGACGGGCCGAAGTCCCAGGGTAGAGGTCTTTTCGAAAAAGAACCAAAACCAAAGCAGCAGGGTTCAGCACGCCGGGCACCCCTGTGGCAAGGCAACAGGGGGCGGCGGATCGAATGGCCTTCGGTCCATCCCGCCACCGTGTCTGGGTTGTGCGCATGCGTCCGCCGCACCCAGCACAGCGTTTCTTGGCACCATAGGGAGCTCCACCGAAGGCCCCAGTGGGGGTGCCTGCATGCGTCCGCCACACCCAGCACGGCGCTTCGTGGCCCCATAGGGAGCTCCACCGAAGGCCCCAGTGGGGGTGCCCGCAGGTCATGGGCCACTGGGATGGTCGTTGGGATGTCGCGGGAGGCCTCTCGGGGGCCGTTTGGAGGCCTCGTGGGAGGCGTGCTGGGGCCCCAAGAGTAGTGGCAGCCTCTCCTGGGTCTCGTGGGGCCACTGGAGAGCGTCTTAGGGGCCTTTCGGGCCCTCTTGGGCCCCCTTTGGGCTGTCTTGGAGCCTTTTCGGGGACCTCTCGGGGCGAACGGGGGGCCTCCTGGGCCGATCTTGGGGGCCTCCTGGGCCTTCTTGGACGCTGTGGAGTCCCAAGGGGCGAATGCAGTAAAAATGCACGTGCCCCCCAAGGGACATGTGACGATTTTTGCTTCTGGGGGTTCTCTTGGTGTTACTCTTGGGGGCATCTTGGGGCGTCTTGCGGGCCTCTTGGGCCGTCGTGGGGCCACAGTGGGCCATCTTGAAGTTGTCTTGGACCCCTCTGGGGCAGTGTAGCCATCTGAGGCGGTGTTTGAGACATTATCGAAAGTTTGGGAGGTCGTCTGAGGCTGGCTGAGCAGCTCCCAAGAGCACCCAGGAATCCCCAGGAATTCCCGGAAAACGGCGGGTCCAGGCCATTGATAACCTTGCAACCCCTTCACACCTCAGGGGTGCAGGGCTGCATGATGAGCCTCGGGGCACTCCACTGCGTGCTCCAGGCACGGTGGCGGATTGGAACTTTCTCTTGTTCTAGGAACATGTCGTGGCAGGCCTCTAGTCGGGATCTTCTGACCCGTGTCAATCCAGACCCAGGTCATTTGGGCCTTGCAGGATTTTGCAAGATTCTGCATGATCCTGCGCTGAAGCCTGGGTCAATGCGACCCCGGCCCTGCAGGATCCTGCAAGATCCGGCGCTCTGGCTGACCGCCGTTTGCATCGCCCCCCGTTTCTTAAGTCCCGATCCAGGACTGCCAGGGAGATCGGTCCCCGCTCAACGGCTGTGCTGGGTGGAGCTGACCCTCCCGGCGGGCCATGCTAAGATAGAACGGCGGGAGGTTTTTTTTTTGTCGCTATCTTCCACCTCCGGGGGCCGTGCTGGGGCCCCGAGGCCGTCAAGAGAAATGCCTTGGGATGACAAGCTGTGGTCCACGTCGTGGAACAATCCTGGCGTCGGGGGTCGGGGGCCTTCCCCGTCAGCCACGCGCAGAGGGGGGTAGGAGGAGGAGGAAGAGGAGGAGGAGCAGGAGGAGGAGGAGGAGGACGAGAAGGAGGAGGAGGAGGAGGGCGAGGGGGGAGGGTTCCTTTGAAGCGCCCCTGCTTCTCAGACGGCGCGGGCCGTGCCTGTAAGATGTAGGGCCGGCGCCTTCTAAGAAGCCGCATTTTTCTAAGAGGCCCTCCCCCTTCCCCTACCCTCAAGAGGGAAAGAAACACACAGACACGATTAATCGTCGACCCCCCAAAAAAGTATTGGAAAATATTGGAAGTGGGGGGGGAGACAAAAACCCAGAAAATGTTGGAAAATAGGACATCTTTTTATTTGTGTGTATTGATGTGTGTGTGTGTGTGTGTCTGTGTGTGTGTCTGTGTGTCTGTGTGTCTGTGTGTCTGTGTGTCTGTGTGTCTGTGTGTCTGTGTGTGTGTCTGTGTGTGTGTTTGTGTGTGTGTGTGTGTTTGTGTGTGTGTGTCTGTGTGTGTCTGTGTGTGTGTGTCTGTGTGTGTGTGTCTGTGTGTGTCTGTGTGTGCGTGTCTGTGTGTGTCTGTGTGTGTATGTGTGTCTGTGTGTGTCTGTGTGTGTCTTTGTGTGTGTCTGTGTGTGTCTGTGTGTGTGTCTGTGTGTGTGTCTGTGTGTGTGTCTGTGTGTGTGTCTGTGTGTGTGTGTCTGTGTGTGTGTGTGTGTCTGTGTGTGTGTCTGTGTGTGTGTCTGTGTGTGTGTGTCTGTGTGTCTGTGTGTGTGTGTGTGTGTGTGTGTCTGTGTGTGTCTGTGTGTGTCTGTGTGTGTGTGTGTGCGTGTGTGCGCGTGTGTGTGTGTGTGTGTGCGTGTGTGTGTGCGCGTGTGTGTGTGTGTGTGTGTCTGAGTGTGTGTCTGTGTGTGCATGTGTGTGTCTGTTTGTGTTTGTGTGTGTGTGTGTCTGTGTGTGTCTGTGTGTGTGTGTCTGTGTGTGCGTGTCTGTGTGTGTGCGCGTGTGTGTGTGTGTGTGTGTCTTGGGGCCCCTTTATACCCCCTTGTGCGCGCCTCCAACCCAGGCCTCCCAGATGGGATCCGAGAGCAGAGGGGGATCGAAGGATCGCGCCGCATCGCCGACGCGTTAGCGATGCAGCTCGATGAGGAGCCCGATCTGCTTCACGCCGACGTCGCCGATGCGTCGCCGACGTCGCCGACTTATCTCAGGAGGGGAAAAAACACACAGACACAATTATTCGGCGATTCCCAGAAAATATAGGAAAATATGGAAAGTGGGGGGGAAGACAAAAACCCAGAAAATATGGGAAAATATGGGGAATAGTTTTATTTGTGTGTATTTATTTGTGTGTCCCAGGGCCCCTTCAGTATCGGCGGTGCGTGGCCCATCTTGGGCAGAGACAGCTCGCGCCCGCGCCCCAGATCTCGCGCGGCGGCGAGCACAAGGGAGGTCGCGCCAACGGGGCGGCCTTTTGGGGAGGCAAGGGGTGCTTCTCAGAAGCCCTCTCCCGCCTTCTGAGAAGGCCTGCCTCGACGCATCCGAGGCCCCCTCTGGGAAGCCCATGCGCCTTCTTAGAGGCTGCCCCCCTGACCCCGCCCCTTCGAGGCGCCGCCAAATGGTGGCGTGGCCCTGTCGTTCGGCTTGCATACTGATCCCTCCCTTCCCGGACCTGCCTCTGCGAAGGCGGGGCAGTCCACAGTCCTCAGGCATCAGTCCTTCGCCAAGTGGCTGCGACACGCCTCTTGTGTAGAGTGCACACTTGGCTCACCGAGCTGAGGTGTCGTTCCGTCTTGGGCCTGATGGCGAGCGTAGAGGTTGCACGACGTGGAGGAGGGGTCGGAGAAAGGACGGCAGAGATCGTGAAACTCACTTTCTGGGGGGAGGCGGCCAGTTGTGCGAAAGTCTGCCCCATGTTTCGGGGGATATGTGCCCTGATCCGATCCGTTGATGTCGCGCCCACGCGCCAGATCCACAGATCCCTAGTACAATGTAGCGATTGCTTGGTTGACAGGGGGTTGGGCCCTGGAGTTCCCGTGCGGAGGTTTCTTTGGGGCTCGCACAAGAATGAGTGGCAGTTTTGCTGATTTTTCGAGCCCACAGAGCGGAACACCACGCCCCCCCCGCGGCGGCGATTGCGACGACGACGACGACGGCAACCATGGCGACAACCACGACGACAACCACGACGACGACGACGACGACCATGACGACGACGCGGACGACGACGACCGAGACGACGACGACGATGACAACGACCAGGTCCACGACCACGATGACTGACAACGGCGACCCCCCGACCTCTCTTTGGGAACGTTCTGGCCATGATTTCGAGACGGATCTACCTAGCCGTGGCCACGAGTTCGACGGCGGACGAGGACGACGACAACCAAGACGACGACGACCACGACAACGCCGACGATGCCGCCGACGACGCCGACGCCGACGACGACGGCGGCGACGATGGTGGTGGTGACGGCGGCGACGCCGCCGACGACGACGGCGGCGGCGACGATGGTGGTGTCGGCGGCGACGCCGACGATGACGCCAACGACGACGCCGACGCCGACGACGCCGACGCCGACGACGCCGACGCCGACGCCGACGCCGACGCCGCCGCCGCCGACGACGACAACGACGACGTCAACGACGACGTCAACGACGACGACGCCGACGCCGACGCCGACGCCGACGCCGACGCCAACGCCGACGCCGACGCCGACGCCGACGCCGACGCCGACGACGACGGCGACGACGACGACGACGACGACGACGACGACGACGACGACGACGCAAACGACGCAAAAGACGCGGGCGGCGCCCGTGCGGCGGCGGGTGGCGCGGCGCCAGGGCGGGAGCCTCGAGGAGGTCGCCGCGCCCGTGCGGCTGCCGAACCACCTGGAGCTCGGCCGCGCGCTGCCCGTGGGCGCACGGGGGGTGGGGTCGGCGGCACGGCCAGGCCTCCCGGAGGAGGTGCTGCACCCATCAGCTCCGCCAGGCAGCGACGACGGGCGAGGGGAGGCCAGACAGCAGAGGGCGAGGTCGGGCGTTCCATAGGAGACGGGGAGACGCACGAGCATCCAGAGGCTGCCCCGGAAGGCCCCGCGAGATCCGCAGGCAGGGGCCAAAGGCCACCCGGACTTCGACAACAAAGGGGGCCTCAGCTCCTCAGACGGGTCCGTGAGGTCCTACAGCCATAGGATGTATTCAATCGGTTCGCTCACTCCGCCGGCCCGTATTGCATCACTGTTGCTCTGTTGGCGTGCTCCTGGCGAGCGAGGAGGAGGAGGAAGAGGAGGAGGAGAAGAAGGAGGCTTTGCGATGGCTTCTTGGGGCTCTCTTGGGGCCAAAGTGGGTCGTGGGCAAGGCGCCTCTTTTAGATGCGTTTTGGGGTCTACTGGGCGGCCTCTTGGCGACAGTTTGGGACCTCTGGGGGCGTATGTTGGGCATATTGGGGCCCTGCTGGCTGCCTCGGGGGCCATCTTTTGGGAAAGGGCTCGGCATGTGAGCTCGGATGGACTGCCATTTGAGAAACGAGTGCGCGCGCAGCATGTTTTGCAGAAGATGGCGGGGTGGGGGGTGGGGGGTCGATACCACTTGGGCTGGGATGGCACTAAGTCGTATCTAGGACTGACCCTTGCTTGCCTTCTGGCTTCTCCGCTCGTCTCATGATGTTCTGACCTACTTTAGCCTTGACCACGAGAGAGAATTTCGGGCGCCAGGAAAGTACCCGAATTGGGGGGTTCTCACGTGTCGGGCTATGGGGGGCGAAACTTCGCTGGCGTGCCGGGCAGACTCTGTCTCGATACTTTTCCGTGTGCTCGAAGTTATTTCTGGGACGTGTTCTTGAAGCACGACGGGAAGAACATCACGTTCGACCTCTTTCTCTCCCCGCCTCCTCCTCCTCCTTGTCCCCTCCTCCTCCTCCTCCTCCTTCTCCTCCTACTCCTTCTCCCTCCGTAGCCATTTTGGCTCAAGCCTGCCTTGGGCGCCAGGCGGGCTGCTTGCCTTGTCTCTCCCTGCTGCTTCTGCGCTTGAGAGCGGCTCTGTCCTTCTCCCCTTCGCCGCGTCCTGTGGCCATGGAGGGGGACTGCCTGGCGGCGAAGGTTTGCTACGGAGGGCTGCCACCTCAGCGATGGCGGCCCACGGGACTCAGGGAGGCCGAGAGCGCCGCTCTCGGCCCCACGGCGGCGCGGCGCGCGGCCCGCGCCAGGCGCATGGCTGCGTTGGTTGCGGGGTGCCGCGCGGGGCCGTGGCCACCTGGGTCGTGGCAAGACCGCGAGCAGGCTGCGCGCCCGGCGCTGCGCAGTGCTGCGGCGGGTCTGCGGGTCGCGGGACGGCCGCGCAGGCGGCGCAACGCGGCTTGGCATGCTGCCGACCCCCCACCGCGAGGGTTCGCGCGGGCGACCGACGAGGAGCTGGAGGCTTCTGCGGCGGGCCCGCGGCTGCCGGCCTTCGCGGGCCAGGGTGGCCCCCTGCCGGCGCCGGCCCGTGGCGGAGACGGCGATGCTGTTTTTGGCGACGGCGGTGACGGAGACCATGCGCCTGGTGACTGGCGGCCTCGGGACTTCCAGTCGGAGGCCACCGCCTTCGGCTTCGGGTTGATGTCGGGCTGGCGGCTCGCGGGCGGGGACATGGTCAAGTCCCAGTGCGACGGTGACGGGACCGAGAGCGGCGTCTCGGTGGAGCCCGTCGTCGACGTGGCAGGCGAGTCGGAGGCCGTCGTAGTCGACGTGAGGCTGGTTGTGCCGTTCCAGCCTGCGGCGGAGATCGACGGCGACGGCTCCCACGTGCCTGAGAGCGTCGACAGTGGCGAGGAGCCCCTCGCTGAGCTCGGCGCGGTGTCGGAGGTCGACGTCGAGGACTTCCTCGACAAGATGCTCACGGCCTCGGGCCCCGAGGGAGGCGCGCAGAGCGTCAGCATGGAGGACGTGGTGCGCCAGATCGATAGCGACGGCATGGACATCGACCGCGTGCACGCCTTCATGAGCTCCACGCGCTTCCGCCAGTGCTTCCGCGTGATGGGCGTGCGCATCTACCGCGTCGTCGTCGGTGGCACTGGCCTCTCGGCAGCCGCTGAGGCTCGGTGGCGCGCGCTCTCGGGCGCTCTCTAGTGCCGCCGCCTCGAATCCTGGAGTTGCGGCCCAGGGACCCCCGTCGCGTCCCCCTGCGGACGGGGGCGTGGGCCGCACACCGTCGCGGCAGCGGCCCGCGCGCGGGGATTTCGAACTTCTGGCGGCCCTCGGCATCGTCCAGCCTGCTGGACGGGGTCGAGGGCTTCCTTTGAAGCTGTGCCATCCATCCTACTCCTTCTCCCCCTCCCCCTCCTCGCCCCCCCTCCCCCTCCGCGCACGCTCTTCCTCGTCTCCGGTGTGCTCCAGCGGGCAGTGGCCACCTCCGTGCACCACGAGGCGCGCAGGCGCGCGGCAGGCCCTGCAGCAACACCGCAGCCGCGGGAGGGGCCTCCCCCCTGCCTCCTCCATCGATCGCCCTCCTCCTCCTCCTCCTCCTCCTCCTCCTCCTCCTCCTCCTCCTTCCTCCCTGCCTCCTCCATCGATCGCCCTCCTGCTATCTCTCGCTTCGCGAGTTTCCCATGTCCATCTCCATTCCCACATGATGGCGTTCCAAAACATCGCCTCGTCTCCGAGGGTAGTTCGCGTTTGCCAGGACTCGGGTTCGCCATCGTTTTTTGACGACCGCGACTCGGAGTTTGACGAGCAGGAGTTTCGTGGGACGTCTGCAGCGGGAGGCCTCGTCCAAATGCAGGCTCGGCCCCGTCATTTTTTTGACGACCTCGTCGGGCATTTCCGAGTCCCCTGTACCCGGGTCTTACGCCCCCCTGACTGATATCTCTCGCTTCGCGAGTTTCCCATGTCCACTTTCCATTCCCACATGGGGCGTTCCAAAAAATCGCCCTGCCTCCGAGGGTAGTTCGAGGATAGGAGGAGTCGTCATCTCTTCCGCCGCGGAAGGGCGGCGGAAGGTCGGCGGAAGCAAACGGGGCCGCCTCTGCCGGCGGAAGCCGGCAGAAACTCGGCGGATGGCGGCGGAAGAGAGAAAATTGCGTTCTCAAGAGATGAAAACGTTTTTTGGGTTCAGGGTTTCCGAAATCCGCCCTATCCTCGCAGTGTCATCCTCCCCATTCCGCACTCCGACCTCTAGCCTCCGCGTCGGCGCGTCGGGCACAGGCCGCTCCCACTTCCACCTGTTGACTTCTGACCTGTACCAGCTCAGCATTCCGACATCAAGCATCCAGCATCCGACTGGCCATTTCCATTCCCACCTATCAACGTTCCGACCTGCAGCTGTTAACATCCGCGTTCTCACCTCCAGCTCCATCTTCACCTGGAGACCTCCAGCTTCCACCAGCTCAGCACTCCGACATCAAGCGCCCAGCACCTTGCTCTCAACTTCCACCTTCAGAGAACGACCTCCAACCTCCACCAACCCAGCACTCCGACTCCAGCATCCGGCTTCCGACTCTCCACTTCCACCTCCCCCTATCGACCTCCAACGTCCACCAGCTGAGAACTCAGCATTCCGACCTCGGCAAGCAAGAACAACCATGCACTCAGGGCTCCGGCCCCCCTCGCAGGCCCTGACGGGCCCCGCCCCTGGCGGTACCGCGCGCTCGCTTTCTCTCTCTCTCTCTCTCTCTCTCTGCTCCCCCTCATCCGTGCGACTGGCTTCCTCCTCCCGATTTCCTCGTCCCCCCCCCTCGAAAATGCTCTTGCCGCGGATCCTGCGACGCGTCGGCTGCGCTCGCCAATGAGGGGGTGCGACGCGGCGCCTCGGGGGGGAGGATCACCGAGGCGTCGTGATTATACGGGGGAAAGGGGGAGGAGGGCGGAAGGTGGAGAGGCGAGTGGGAGGGGGTGAGGGCGGACCGGAAGTCTGCGGCGGAGTAGGGAAGTGGAGATGCAGGCGATGACGATCAGGCAGAGAAGTTGAATCCTGAGGCGCACCCGCACTGCAATGCAGTATCGCAGTGTCTGTGCCAGAGTGTTATTTGACATGCAATGCGGCGTGCTCATGATCGGGCGAAGAGAGCTATGCACATGCACGGATCCTGGCAAGGCCCATCCTTGGCCCAGGATCGGTGCATATGCCTTCCTGGCCAAGGTAGGAGGGCGTATGCACCGATCCTGGGCTCAGGATGGGCCTGGCCAGAATCGGTGCATGTGCACAGTTCTCTTCCCTCTACATGAAAAAAAAGGATCGGCTGCAGGAAGGGCGGGGAAGCGGCGGGAGAGGGAAGTGTGCGGTGGTCGCACCCCGCCCTTCTGCAACACCCTGCGCGCGGTCATGAAGAAGGGGTCCGGGCGCACGAGCAACTTCCTTCCCCAAGACGACGACGATGACGACGACCACAACCATGACCACGACCACGACGACAACCACGACGTCGACGACGACGACGACGACGACGACGACGACGAGTACGACGACCGCGACGACGACGACGACGGCGACAACGACGACGATGACGACGACGGCGGCGGCGGCGGCAGCGGCTACGACAACGACGACGACGTCGACGACCACGTCGTCAACGACGACGACGACGAAGACGATGACGACGACAGCGATGACGACGACAACGACGACGACGACCACGTCGTCAACAACGGCTACTACGACGACGGCGGCGGCGCCCGTGGGCGCCCGCAGCGCCAGCGTCGCCGACGCCGATAGCAACGACCGCGGCCGCGGTAGGGCCGCCACTATCCGCGATGGAATTTGGTTTGCAGATTGGGGCCGCGATTGCGATTCGATTCGGGTCGGTTCGGTTCACCGACATCGGCCCGGGCCAGGTTAAGCTTGACGCCGCGATTTGATCCAGTTGACGTCTGTCTCGGCGACCGCAGCGGCTGCGAAGAAGACGACGCCGACGACCACGTCGGCGACGCCGTCGTGGTCGTGGTCGTGGTCGTGGTCGTGGTCGTGATCTTGGTCGTCGTCATCGTCGTCGTCGCGGTCGTCGTCGTCGTTGTCGTCGTCGTCGTCGCGGTCGTCGTCGTCGTCGTCGTGGATGTCGTGATCGTCGTCGTCGCCGTGGTCAACAACGTCGTCGACGACAGCGGCGACGGCGATGACGGCGATGACGGCGCTTGGCGCCGACGCCGATGGCGATAGCAATGGCCGCCGCCATTGCGACCGCGCCGGCGGCGGCGGGGAAGACGACGACGACGACGACAACGACGACGACAACGACGTCGGCGACGGCGACGGCGATGATGGTGCTGGCGACGCCGACGGCGACGGCGATGGCGACGGCCGCGGCCGCGGAAGCCGCGACAACAGCGGTGAGGACGGCGGCGTCAGCGACGCGAGCGGCGGCGCACGGCCCCCCAAACGCGCAGGAGCAGAGGCTGCGCGACCTCGGCGTGCTCGCCGACGGTGGCGCGGCGGTGCCCGCGCCGCCGGCGCCGCTGCCGCCAGGAGCGGCGAGCGACCGCCAGTGCCGCCCTCCCCGCCGCCTCCGCTCAAGCATTCGCGAGGCGCTCCGGCTTTCCTATAGGCCTGCGGAGGAGAGCTCGGAGAGCACGAGGTCATGGTGCGTTCCAAGATTCCCAAGGTGCACCCAGGATTGCCAGTCTTCTAGGCCTACCAATTGCTGCGAACGGCTTTGGTCACCACTCACCAAACCACCCCAACCCAACCCGAAGGCTTCAATTTGCCCTTCATTTCCAGTTGGGGGGGGTCGGGGAACATTGAAAAAACACATATGGAACCCGTACCCCCCCCAACCCGAAATTGGGGTCTTCGGGTCGGGTTGGGGTGGTCTGGTAGGTAGTCATTTGGGGGGCAATCTGCGGCCAACAGGGAGCCCTCACTGCGCCCCCGGCCGCCGCTTGTCCAGAGGCCCAAGAGTGCCCTTCAGCAGGGCCCATGTCGATCCGCTCCGATCCGAGCGATTCTGGCCAGCCCGGTCCGATTCGATTCCGATGTTCGGGCGATCCGATGCGGCCCGAGGGACGCTTGCGTGGCGCTGTTGTGCGTCCTAGCGCGGCGGGTCCAATCCGATTCCGACCCCGTGCCGATGCGGCCCGATCCGACTTGCAGTGGGGGCCCATACCAAGAATCACCCTGCTCGCATCCAGGGTGCCCTGGGTTTGGTGGGTCTCGAGGGTTTTGCCAAGGAAAGCTTGACGTCCCCACACCAAAAATCGATGGACGTCCGGGGGTCTCAGGGTTGGGTTTCTTGTGGGCGAGCCCCTACTGCGCATTCCGATTCGATCCGATTTCATGTTGGTTGATATTGCCCTTTGAGGCCGAGACATCCGAAGATCTGACTGCGCAGGCCGTCTGGCTGGCGCCACCGACCCTGCAGAGGGACGACGACGACGACGACGACGACGACGACGACGGCGGCACTGTTGCCTCTTGGGGCCATCTTGGAGGTGCTCTCCATCTGATCTGTGTGCAGCCCAAGCTCGTCGTTGTCGTCACCGCCTCCGTCTCCGTCTCCGTCACCGTCACCGTCACTATCACCGTCATCGTCACTGTCACTGTCCCCGTCGGCGTGGTCGCCGCCGTCGTCGTCGGCGGCGAGCGACGGTGCCTCTGTCTCTGGTTGCGAGAGGGTCACGGCGAACGGCTCTCTCCCCGGGGCAGGCTGCAGCCGCCGGTGGGGGCCGCAGACTGCGCCCCATGGGCGGTCCCAGAGACCCAGACCCCCTCGAGTCATGAAAAAATCACGACGGCAGGTTTTTCGCTATTTTCGGCCTCCAGGGGCCCTTACCGGCCCTCAGGACCGTCAAAAAACGACTCGGGATGAAACACCGGTCCCGGGGAATGTGTCCAGACCTCTGGGGGTCGCGTCATGAAAAAATCATGACGTCGGGGGTCTGGGGAGGGGCCCGGGGTGGAGAGCGCGGAGGAGCCCAAAGATGCCCAGGGTACCCCCAGGAGCCCCCAGGCTGCCCCCCAGGGACTCCCGAGGTCATGGTCCCGGGGCCTCACCGCGCCCCGGGGCCGCCCAGGAAGTGGCCAGGGGTGGAGAGCTCGGAGGAGCACGAGGGCGTGGTGCGTTCCAAGATTCCCAAGGTTCGAGCAGTGGCGAGGCGTCCCAGACCCCCTCGAGTCATGAAAAAATCACGACGAGAGGTTTTTCACTATTTTCGGCCTCCGGGGGCCCTTACCGGCCCTCCAGGACCGTCAAAAAACGACTCGGGATGAAAAGCCGGTCCCGGGGAAGGGGTCCGGACACCTGGGGGTCGCGTCATGAAAAAATCATGACGTCGGGGGTCTGGGGTTCTGGCTTGCCCATAGGCCAAACGAAGATTGTTCTGAGACCCTTGTGTGGTTTGCACGGACTGTTCCTAGAACAGTGTTGGTTGGGGCTTTCTTGGTTTAAAGCATCGGCTTCATGTTATAAGAACATCGCGCTTGTTCTTGAAACATTGTTGGGTTCTAAGAACATGTCGTGGTAGGTCTATAGGAATGCTGGGACGGTCGTTTCCTGCTCAAAGGGTACGCCCAGGATTCTCAGTCTTCTAGGCCTCCCCAATCGGGGTCCGAGCGCGTGGGGTCGAAGGATCGCGCCGCAGTGCTGGTGCATCCGCGATGGCGTCTCGATGTGGACCCCGAGTTTCGCCTTGTTCACGTCGCGGACGCATCGCCGACGTCGATGATGTATGAAAGAGCGAGCGTGTTCTGGCGTTTAGTACCGCGGGGGGGGAGGGGCCCTGAGATGCAAGGAGGGGGCTTCGAACCGAGGCGCGAGGGGGGGGTCCTCGGGGCGAGAGGATTGCTCCCCGGTGAAAGGGTTGGTTCCCCGGTGAAAGAAATGCTTCCGCGGTGGAAGATGAAAAAGCTGCGAAGGGGTTCTTCCCCGGCAGGAGGTTTTCAAGGGAGAGTTGTACAGATCAGCATTCCGACGACATTCCAAGAGCCACGAAACATCCATGGGTTGCCTTAAGGGAGGTCGCTTACTCCTGTGTACACCTTCGAGGAAAAAGCTGCCAGGGAACGAGCTCTTCTGGATTAGATCCGGATTCTGTCTTACTCGCAATCCTCGTCCCGTTCGAATTGTATGTCATTCCTAACTGAATCATGCATGGGATTTCTTCCAATTGGTGCTCTCGGAGGGCCCAATTGGGATCCCATTGTAACCCTATGGAACCCAACAGAATCCCACGGGCATCCGATTGGAGTCCGAATCGAATCCGATAGGGTTCTTTCCCATTGGCACCGTATTGGGTTCCCGTTGGATCCTATTGGGATCGAACCAGATTCTTCCACAATGGGAATTTATCGGAACCCGATTGAAACCGTATTGGAATCCAATGCGACGCTTCCTTGTCGAAGCCAATGTGTGTTCCTACTTGACTCCAATGAGGCCCTTCGTGGCTTCGCTTTAAGGATGTCCACGAAATCTTGGGACATGCGTCGAAGCGCCCACCGTGGAGCCAACCTTGTGCGAATCTGTTTCGGAATCCCATTGGCGCGCAGGGTTCCTCAAGCTTCCTCGGAATTCCTGGGGATAACACACGCATTCGAAGCAGAGACGGAGGTAGCCGCCCTAGTATTATCAGGTATTGACGTAGATGCAGCGGTAGCAATTGCAATTTTATGGGCAGTGGTAGTCGAAGTCGCATGTGTAGTTGTAGTGAGAATCTAGGTAGTAGTGATGGTTGTGGTAGTTGTAGCAGTAGTCGTAGTAATAGTGGTCGACGACGTAATGGCAGCAGTAGTAGTAGTAGTAGTAGCAGCAGCAGCAGTAGCAGTGGTAGTAGTAGTAGTAGCAGTCGTAGTCGCAGTCGTGCTCGTAGTCGTAGTCGTGGTCGTAGTAGTCGCAACCGAAGTCGCAGTCGAAGTCGTAGTAGTAGTACTAGTAGTAGAAGTCGCTGTCGCCGTAGTAGTAGCGATAGTAGTAGTACTGGTAGTAGTGGTACTACTCGTCGTAGCGGTTGCAGTAGTAGTTGTAGTAGTACTCGGATGTAGAAGAAGTAGTAGTAGTAGTCGTAGTCGTAGGCGTAGTAGTAGTAGTAGTAGTAGTACCCGTAGTACTCGCAGTACTCGTAGTAGTAGTAGTAGTAGTAGGAGGAGTAGTAGTAGTAGTAGTGATAGTCGTAGTAGTCGTCGTCGACGACGCAATAGTGCTAGCAATCGTAATGATAGTAGTGGTAGTAGTCGTTGTCGTAGTCGTAGTCGTAGTCGTAGTCGTAGTAGTCGTAATCGTGGTCGCAGTCGTGGTCGTAGTAGTAGTACCGAGAGTAGTAGTGGTAGTAGTAGTTGGAGTAGTCGTAGTAGTTGTTGTTGTAGTAGTAGTTGTCGCAGAAGTAGAAGTAGTAGTAGTAGTAGTAGTAGTAGTAGTAATCGTAGTAGTAGTAGTAGTAGTAGTAGTAGTAGTAGTAGTAGTGGTAGTAGTAGTAGTAGTAGTAGTGGTAGTAGTAGTAGTAGTAGTGGTGGTAGTAGTAGTAGTAGTAGTCGTAGTAGCAGTAGTCGTGGTGGTAGTAGTAATAGTAGTAGTAGCTGTTGTAGTACTTGTCGTCGTCGCCGTTGTGGTAGGGATCGTAGTTATGGCAGGCGTAGTAGTAGTAGTAGTAGTAGTAGTAGTAGCAGTGGTAGTGGTAGTAGTAGTAGTAGTAGTAGTAGTAGTAGTAGTAGTAGTAGTAGTAGAAGGGGTAGTAGCAGTAACAGTAGCAGTAGCAGTAGAAGTAGTAGTAGCAGTAGTAGTAGTAGTAGTAGTAGAAACAGTAGTAGTAGAACTCATAGTATCAATCGAAGCAGTACTAGTAGTAGTAGCAGTAGTAGCCGCAGTAGCAGTATAACTACACAGAGGTAGTCATATCAAAGGTAGTAGAGGTACGTGTAGTACCCACAGTAGTAGTAGTAGTTGTTGTAGTAGTGGTAGCAATAGTCGTGGTAGTAGTAGCAGCAGCAGCAGCAGCAGTAGTAGTAGTAGTAGTAGTAGTAGTTGCTGTTGTTGCTGTAGTTGTAGTAGTGGTAGAGGTAGCGTTAGTGGTAGTGGTAGTAGTAGTGGTAGTAGTAGTCGTTGTTGCTGTAGTTGCAGTAGTAGTCGTCGCAGAGGCCTCTTAGGAGCCTCGCAGAGGAATCTTAGGATTCTCGCAGAGGCGTCTTAGGAGCCTCGCAGAGGCCTTTTAGGAGCCTCGTAGAGGCTTCGCAGGAGCTTTGCAGAGGCTTCTAGAGCTCCTCACTGGGGAAGCTTAACCGGGGAACTCGTCGTCGTAGTAGCAGTGCTAGTAGTAGTATTGGTAGTAGTGGTACTACTCGTCGTAGTGGTTGCAGTAGTCGCAGTAGTTATAATAGTAGGAGTAGTAGTAGTAGTGGTAGTAGTAGTAGTAGTAGTACTAGTACTAGTACTAGTACTAGTACTAGTACTAGTACTATACTAGTACTATAGTACTAGTACGTAGTACTAGTACTAGTAGTAGTAGTAGTAGTAGCAGTAGTAGTACGTGTAGTAGTCGTAGCCGTAGTCGTAG